TGTGTGTGTGTGTGTGTGTGTGTGTGTGTGTGTGTGTGTGTGTGTGTAGGCACTAGTCTGGTGCTACAAGGTGTTTACAAGACAAATGCACCTGTGGGCAGCCTCTCTGAAGGGCAAAGTGTTTCTCTTGGCTGCCTGCAACATTGGCAGTGCTATCTGGCACCATGCCCTTGATGTATTAAAAACTGAATTACAAAATGTAATGTCATTCCTTATCCGAGATAAGAAGAAGCCAGTGCTGTGGAGGGCCAAGAAAAGGGGACTAAGACTTCAGGTGCCTGCCCACAGATACATCTGTCTGGTTAAGACTTTGTAGCTCCTGACCAGTGCTTAGAGGAGAGGGGCTGACTGGAAAAGTTTTCCTTTGTGTTACCAAAGAGAAATTCTGAGGTAGACTGCTTATCTGAGTATGGGCTGGGCCATCTGAGGGTAAGGAATCACTAAGAGCACGAACAAGCATCATAAACTTTTCCTTCTTTCTTCTTCTCTTGGGCAGATGTTGGTGGTGTTTAAATCTGCCCCTATCCTCAAGCGGGCACTCAAGGTCAAGCAGGCCATGTTACAACTGTACGTATTGAAGCTGCTGAAGATCCAGACCAAGTACTTGGGGCGTCAGTGGAGGAAAAGCAACATGAAAACCATGTCGGCCATCTATCAGAAAGTGAGGCACCGCATGAATGATGACTGGGCTTATGGCAATGGTGAGCAATCTGAGGGTTGGCCTCCAATTGACCCTCCTCTCATGGGTAGTAAAATAAGTGAAACTGCTGTTTTTGCCTTTGCACTGGGGAAGTGTTATTGCATGCGCTGGGTGAGGAGAGAAACCACTATAGGTTGAATCCCCTTGCAGTAACCTCCATGGGACTATATGAGTTCTGACATGTATGTCCTGAGAGGCTGAATGCTTGAGCAGAAAGAGCATTGAACAGGATGTTAGAGAACCTTAATTCTGCTCTTAGCTGGCCATTTGACCTTGGGTCGGCCACTTGGCTTCTCTAGGCCTTTTTTTCGGCATCTGTGACAAGACAAATGAAAGTAAAAAATAGTCCATGCAATTTAACTCTGAGATGGTGTAATTCCAGGGCAGACATGGTGGGGTCAGGCCCAGCAAGGGGTGTCACTCAAAGACCCTGGACCAAAACAAACAACTCTGGAGCAGATTTCTGCAATCCAAACTGGCCTTAGAGCCTGTTAAATGAGGACGTTGGACTAGATGAATCCTAGGAGTCTTTTTTTCTAATCTCTAATATTCGATGAGTCTATTAAATCTAAGTAAGCTCTGCCTTAAGCAGAGTGTATAAACCTGCATTTTCATAAAGGAGAGAAATCAGAGAATGATGACTCACATTCTCCAAAAGACTGACTGTAGGACTCACAGAATCACACAATGTTTAAAAGGGGCCATGGAGGCTGTCTACTCTAGATCCTTCATTTTGTAGATGAGGATAACTAATGTCACTATAGCAGTTTAAGTTTTGCAAAGCACTTATGAGATAGATACATGATAGATTTGATCCTTCCAACAACCCTGTTAGGTAGCTGCTTTATTTTTTTTTTTTCAAGTAAAGGCATTTATTCCAGGTAACACACCAGGCAGGCTCCTCCTTAAGGGAGGTAATCTCCCCCCCACTTAAGGGAGGGAGGCCAAAGCTTAAGGGAGACCCCAGCTTTGGGAGGGGGACAGCTCCTTAATGGAGACAGCAGGTTATTTTATCCCCATTTTGCAGATAGGAAATAGCCTGAGGAGATGAAATGACTTGCCCAGGGTCATACTGCCCCTAAGTGTGTGAGACAGGATTTGAACTCAGTTCTTCCCGACTCCCAGGTCCAGCACTTCATCCACTGTGCCACCTAGCAGAGGTAGAAACTTCAACTCGGGCAAAATCACGTGCTGAAATCCTTCAAGTGGCAGAGCTGGAAATTGAAGCCAGGCCTTCTTGCCTCCAAGCCCAGTGCTCTTTCCATTATTCAAGCGCTTGCAGTCCCCTTAAAATAGAATTCAATCTGTCCAGTTTTCTCCATTTCGTAAAGTAAGGTTGGCCTGTGTAAACCAAAATAAAAGGTCCACTGGCTAGGAATCTTAATTATACAGCGAGTTTTTCAGTGTACCGGTGTTGGCTGCACAAATAGAGGTTTGCCCTATGTTTATGTAGCTCTAGTAAAGACTTATTGGCAGGGTGGCACGTGCGTGTTGGCGTTTATAACAAGTGCCGACTTTGGATAAGTTCAGAAAACAAGGATGCCTATTCCTGGGCTGCTCCAGGCATCATCGGAACACTTCTATCAGGGAATGTAAACCATAATTAGCAATTAAAATTCTTGGGATGTTTTTAGTTAGGTGAATAACTCGTTCAGCAATTGGCAACTCCATCAGACATTTCTGACATTTCTTTACTTTGACGCTTTGTTGCTGTCCTGCCTTCTCAGCCTCAGTCCAGATTCTGCTTCCTCATAATGAATAACCACAACAGTCTCTATTCTTATAAGGCCGTAGAACTTGCAAATACTTTGCTTACAGTTTTTTTCTGAGAGACAGATAGATTAGTGTGGAGGTATTATTGTCCCCATTTTACAGATGAAGAAACTGAGGCTCAGCGGGGTGGAGTGACTTGCCCAATATCACACAACTAAGTGTCAGAACTGGGGCTCAAACTCCAAGTCTAGTGTTCTTCCTAGTCTACCCCCACCCCCGTGCTTCTCAAAGAATCAATAATGAGGCATAAAGGACACAAATTAAAAATGAAAAAAACAAATAGCATAGCTTAAGCAGCTCTGAAGAGAATCCTTGGTAACATACAATTAAGGCTTCTAACCTCTAGCCCTGAGGTAAAAAGCCAAGTAGCACGTAGGGGACCAAAAGAGATGAACAGTTTTATCAAGGAGGGTGTCCCAAAAGCCTTTATGAAGTTATAAACTTTTTAAAAAATTTTTTTCATTTTTAGGCAATTGGGGTTAAGTGACTTGTTTAAGCTGCCCCTGCAGTGATAAACTTTAAGAGCTTTGTCTATTCCCACTGCCACCTAGGTAGTATACCTGGGAGTATCTATACCTTTCAGAGCCTCAGCTTCTACATCTGTAAAAATGGGAATGGGAGGGGCAGCTAGATGGCGCCATGGATAGAGCACCAGCCCCTAAGTCAGGAGGACCCGAGTTCAAATCCGGCCTCAGACCAAATACTTGACACTTACTAGCTGTGTGACCCTGGGCAAGTCACTTAACCCCAATTGCCTTAAAAAACAGAAAACAAAAATGGGAATGGTCTCATTTGCACTACCTATCTCCTAGGGTTGTTGTGAGGGAAAATGCTTTGTGAACCTTAAAGCATTCTATAAGTACAAGTGAAACAAAGATTTGTCCTTGTCTCCAAATTGTGGGATTTCTAGCAGGCACCAAGAGACTATCCCCCATTAAGTATATTTTGAAGAAATTCCAGAGAAATGGGTTTGGGGGTGGGGCCTTCCTAGCAGTAACTTCCCTCAGATTCAAGCCACTGTGCCCCATACTCCCTCCTACCTCCTACCTACCTGAAATTTCCCACTTCTCCTTCCAAAGAAGTTTGTGGAGGGCCGCAAAGTACTGAAAGCCGACTACCCTTTACATCAACTCACCAGTGACTTCCTTGTGATTCCCCAAGACCAAAACTCCCTTCTTTGGCCACCAGTCCCAGATACATGTTGACTTCCCTTTTGGAATGTAAGCTCCTTGAGGGCAGGCACCATCTCTCTTTTTGTGTTTGTGTCCTTAGCACAGGACCTGAAACATAGTAAGCACTTAAAACTTTTTCATTCATTCACTCTTTGTAGCTGGATCAGAAAGGTGTAACCCCAATGATACATATGCTTCTGTTATCATCCCTCTCCCTCTTCCCAATGCAGACATTGATGCCAGGCCATGGGACTTCCAAGCAGAAGAGTGCACTTTAAGGGCCAACATTGAGGCCTTTAACAGCCGGCGCTATGACAGACCCCAGGACTCAGAGTTTGCCCCTGTGGATAACTGTTTGCTGAGTGTCCTGGGGCAGAAGCTGGAACTCCCTGAGGATTTCTGTTATTCATACGAGCTCTGGTTGGAGAGGGAGGTGTTTTCACAGCCCATCTGTTGGGAGGAGCTACTCCAGAGTCACTGACTGGGCTTTCATCTGTCTCCCACACAGTGTTGAATGCCATGGGGAAAACACCCACACACACATACACACACACACACTCACACACACACACACACACAAATGGGATCCTGCCCCTCTGCTCCTTCCACCTTTTAGAAGCTCTCCTAATTTTAATTCAAATCTGAAGCTCCAGGTCCAGAATGGGGAGAGCTTGGTTTGAAGGGGTCAGGGGAAAGGGGAGCAGCTGTCTCAGCCCTAGATCCTTCTTTCCCTCCCCATCCTCTCGGAAAGCTGTCTAAATCCAGGACAGACCTGGTGGGGTCAGGGTAAGGGGTGGAAGACAGGGTCCTAGGACCAAAACATGCTACCCTAGAGCCAATTTCCAAGATCCATAATGGCTTTCAATACTAATGAGTCTTATGGTAGGGGTGGGGAAGGCTCCAGACCAGGGACACTCTGGATAAGATTCTAGACTGGATTTCTCCCCTTTGCCTTTGGTGGCTAGGCTCTCTAGGGCTTTATGACCCATGGCATTCACTTCAGTGTAAGACTTACAGCCCTTATTATCCTAAATTAGATAACTAGTAGTGTAGAATGAAGGAAGACAAGTGTTTTTGTGGTTCAGTCCTGGGTTTCTTCAGACTTTGCCTGAGGTTTTTCCCAAATGCCATCTTTGAAATTGGGTTCTCTTTTCAATCTCTTTCAAAGATGTCTCAGGCACCCATAACCTGTCAAACCATATAGGACCATATAGGAAGTCAGTATTGTTCCAAGGCCATTTTGGGAGTGAGTCAAGCCTGAGGATGGAGGACAGAGGCTCCATACATGCATGCACCCTCCTCCCTCCACCGCATGCACGCACACATGCATGCTTCTAAAACTCATCTGCTATAAGTGGAGCTACATAAGAGTCCTAGCTAATACTGCAACATTTCAGTAGACCTTTTTCCCCCTACAGGACAGATCTATTCTTCAATATAGGGTCATTCCCAGATTGGAGAAGATAGAGTCCTATTCCCCAAGCCCCGCATGTGGGAGTACAGTGCATACCGTGTATAATGATTATTTTCTTTGTTCCCTAAAGAGTCTGTACTGGATTTTTAAATGATTGCCCTGCCTCCTCTGTTAGAGTCTGACACCATTTTAAGAAGACACAACTAGTATGGACCACCCAGGTTTCCTCAGAACATGTTTTCTATTTCCGTAACTTCCCCAGCTCCTGAATGCCCAAGCCTTGAAGAAAATTACCCTTTTTTGCCCACTTCATTTTTCAAAAGACAAGTTAACCACTGGAGAGCATAGTCATTATATGAAAACTATGTCATTCGTATGGCGGATCGATTTATTTTTTAATGGAATGGAACAGTAAAAACAACCTGGCTTAGCACTTTTTTTTTCACGTTCCAACTTGATTAATCTACCTACCCCTGCAATTTCAGTGTCCTGGGGAGATTTAGCAATGTTGCTTCCACCTGAAACCATTCATGCCTCTTCAGAAATCTAAGGGCTGGTGTGCCAAGCTGCCTTGTCTTCTCCATGCTATATAACAAAACCACCAACTTCCTGACAGAAAGAAGGCTGAAAGGCTTCTCTCCTTGTACGATAGGGACCAACAGTCCCCTCGGCCCAACAAAGATAGCCTATGGCCTTATGTCTTTCAAATTATGCCTTCCAAAATCTTCTTTTTGTTTTCTCTATAGCGCCAGTAAAACTTCTTAAAGCTCCTGCAGAAACTAGCTGTATTCACTCCTTTCCTTGTCAGGAATAGAGACTTGTTATTAATGTTACAGCATGTTGTTATTGATTCTCAACTTAATGTAATAAAAATTTATTAAGCACGTCCAGAGGCAGCATGCCGAATTACAGAGGCGTCCAAAAGGCAGCCTGCATTGGCCAGCAACACTCCCCAATGCTGACATAATGTTCATGTGTGATTATCTAAGTCAGGATGCAGCCATGGTGATCTTTATGAATGGTTTAAGGCCCCCCATTTCTTTCTGAGTTTGAAACCTCAATGGGTATTGAATACAAATTGGAGTCAGGAAAACCCAGGGCTGAAGTTTGGTCCCTGATACCTACTGGCTATGTGACCACAAAGAAGGCATTTAACCCCTCAGTGCACCCCTCCCAACTTTAACCAAAGTGCTTAACCTGGGGTCCTTGAACTTTTTTTAATATTTAATGACAATTTCAACATTCTTGGTTTTTTCTGCAGTCCTTTGTATTTTATTTTAGGCATTTGAAAATATTATTCAGAGAAGGTGCCTATCGGCTTCCCTAGATTACTAAAGAGGGGTCTGTGGCACAAAAAATGCTAAGAAACCCTGCTCTAAGACTATACATTGCAGAAAAATCTTTGAAAACAGAGATTGCCAACACCAATGAAGTCATAAGTCCAGACAAAAATAAAAAAGGGGACAACAGACAACTGTGCTGGACATTAGAAAAGATTCAAAGGTAATAACATAGGTCCTGTCTTGCTGAAGGAGGACATATCTAATAGAGATACAACAGATGTATATGCCAATAACTTTCAAACAAGATAGTACATAATATGCACATAAGGGAGGTGCCAACAAAAAGCATTATGATGTTGGAGGCAAGAATGACCCCAGAAAGAAAATAGGGCAAAGCTACAATAACAAAGCCTTAGGTTTTACACTTTAGGCAGTCAGGAGTTCAGTTTGGGGGCAGAATATGACCATGTTAGCCATGAAATTTCATATGACTTAAGGTTTTAGTTGGGTATGATAATAGTGACCAGTGGGGTTTATAGCCATTTGCTGGCCACAATGTCTGTGAATACTATTAGGCTAGAATTGAAGTGGTAGTGATTTGAATGAAATGGCAATTTTCTAGGAAATAACAATCATAAATATATTTATTTTATAGGCCTCTAAAGAATTCACGTTCTTAAAAGCATGTGAATAGGCCCTAAGGCAGAGGGTTTTTTTTATTATTTAGTATTTTATGACAGACTAATTTAACATTCTTCGCAACTCCTCTGTGATCAAGATTTATTATCTGTGCAGATGAAGAAACCGAGGCACACAATTTTTTTTTGACTGAGTCCCAAAGTTCTGCCCCTGACTTATTGGGAAGAAGAAAGTAAAGGAATAAGCATTTATATAGTATCTACTATGTGCCAAGCACTGTGCTAAGCACTTCACAACTATCTCATTTGAGACAACAACCCTGGGAGGCAGGTGCTGTTATCCCCATTTTACAGCTAAAAAAACTGAGGCAAATAGGTTAAGTGACTTGCCTGGGGTCACATAGCTAATACTTGTCTGAGGCCACATTTGAACTCAGGTCTTCCTGACTCCAGGCTCAGCACTCAATCGTTGTTAGGAATAGCATTTATCGGTTTTGGCACTTGGCCCCATATTCTATATTTTAGATAGCTGTCATTCATCTCCACAAGGGAGTCGGTCTAGGTCTCAAAAAAATAGATCCTCCTGGATCTTTCAATGAGGTAGCTAGATGGCACAGGAAGAGTAAGAGCATGCATTCTGGACTTGTCATCAGCAGTATATGACTTCAAATCCTTAGATACTTGTATGTGACCATGAATACATCACTTAACCTCTGTCTGCCTCAGTTTCCTCATTAAATTGGTAATAATAATAATGCCACTACCTCCCTGGGTTGTTGTGAGGATCAGATAAGATAATAGCTGTAAAGTGTTTTTGCAAACTTTAAAGCCCTATGTAAATGCTAGCTATTTAGCCATTATTCTTCCAATTAGAAATCATTTGCCTGGCAGGGAGTATATAGACAGACTCACCAGCCTTGGGCAATTATCAGTGAGGGGAGCAATGGAACATCACTTGAGAGACCTGGATTGTTAAGAATGCTCAGCCCTGCAGGTGTGATCCACATTTGGGTTGAATGCTGTTGACTTAATATTTTTCATCTGGGAAACACTTTAATACAAATCAAGTTGGGTTAATGATTTGATCGTGGAACCCTCCTCATGAAGGAACAGAATGGTTTATTTTAGATGTAAGTTAGTGGGGTATAATTGAAGAAACTGCTTTCAGACACTAGGTTATGTATTTATTTATGACACCCACTTCAGGTGAGCAAAAATGGAATTCTGGAGAATCTTCTGCAAATATACATAATGCATAACCAATATATGTCATCCTTTGTCTACAAAAATGATGCTGTAGATAAATATGCTGACTTGTTTTTCCCCCCAAGGGATAGATTTTGTGCTAATGCATCCATATTCATTCACCCTTTGGGGCCAATGACACACATTTACAAGACAGCTTGCTAGTGCTAAGGACACAGTCCATGGTCAAGGAATAAAGTGAAGCCAACTGACCTGGCCAGCATGAGCTTGACCTTTTGGGTGTCCTAACCAATTAGCTAACCAACTGTTGGCATTAGAGCCCAGGGATATAGCAAGTTAGAGCTCTGCCACAGATTTATTCTGGGATGCTAGAAACTATGCTATTAAGGGGTTGGCTGGTGGTTTAGGGCGAGATGGAATTCAACTGCCAAGTACCTAGGTATGACAGTCTAGCTGAGACAAAGCTGAGATGACTCACCATGGACTAATTCAGACAAAAGCAGGATCTTCCAAGGAACTGTATTATAACAAGACTCCCAACTTGAAGTAGATTCAAGGGTGAGAAGAGGTAGTAAGCCTGAATCCCACAATGGAAAAGCTGAAGAGCATGAGTCAGAAACCAGTGACAAGGTGATTCAAAATTGGGATAGGCAACCAAGTGGGAAGCCCAAGAAAGGGTTTCCAGAGGGAGAAAGCAGGATCTAAACTGAAACCTCCAAGAAGGAAATCATAATAGGAGTCAGGATATGGGCTCTTCCATTGTACCTCTCCTATTTTTAGTGTGATATTCCACAGTTGAGACCACAGCTTCCTTAGCTGCAAGCTATTCTATGATCACAGATTTAAAGATGGAAGGGACCTTACCCATAATCTCATCCAGAATAGTCTAAGATGTTTTCATTTCTAATACAGTAAATATCAATAAATAGAATCCATATAA